CTCGTTTCGCGGTTTTATGTCACAAAACTCCTCTGAGAGCGCCGCCAAAGGCACCCCGTTTTTCGCGGTCGTTTTTGGGGGTGCTTTCTAGGATGCCCAGTAGTACCCTTATTCCCTTTTTGGGGGGTTTAGGTTCCCTTATAAACCCCTTTAAGCAAAAAAGGGCACCGTTTTCAAGCCTTGGCTACTGGGCAGCCTAGTTTTAGGGAGCTCTCAGATGGTTTTGGTTGATCTAGAACCGCGAAACAAGTTAGTGGTAGACACTGAGTCTTTTCACCCTCGTTCTTGGGTGGTGCCTTTGGGGAGCTCTCAGAGGATCCTTTTTTGACCTGGAACCGCGAAACGAGTTAGTGGCAGACACTGAGTCGTTTCACAGTCGTTTTTTGGGGGTGCCTTTGGGGAGCTCTCAGAGGAATTTCTGCGTTTTTTTGTGGCGAAAAGTATTGTAGAAACACCTCGCCCCCTTTGTGTCTTGGAAAGCCTGCAGCCTAATGGATAAGCGCTCGATGTTGATACCGATGAGTCTCGATACTGGTCTGCTTCGATTCGATTCGACATCGATACCGCGCCTTGGCGATACCTCACAGTTCGGTATCGATACGGATTCGATTTCGATAAAAGTATCAGACATCCATAAAACCCTAAACCCTGAACCCTAGACCCTAGACTCAGACCCTAAACCCGAAACCCTAAACCCTAGACCCTAAACCCCTAAATTAACCCTTCAGGGCTTAGTATTCAGGACTTAGGGGCCGAGAGCTTGTCGGATACAGGATGCTTTGTGTGCGATGCGAAGCATTCGCCGAAAACAGGAGCGCTTGTGTTTCATATCCCTAAACCCTAAACCCTAAACCTTAAGCCCTAAGCCCTAAACCCTAAACCCTAAACTCTAAACCCTAAACCCTAAACCCAAACCCTAAGCCCTAAACCCTAAACCCTAAACCCTAAACCCTAAACCCTAAACCCTAAACCCTAAACCCTAAACCCTAAACCCTAAACCCTAAACCCTGAGCCACCCTGATCACTGGAGAACTGACCTGTAGGGTTTAGGGCTTCTGGTTTGGTAGCCTCCGTCGCTGGGTCCGGTCGGTTTGGCGTTGATATGCAGGGTTTAGGGTTCACAGGGGTTATTCGGCTGAGAGGGTTGGGGGGGCTTGTAGGATGTTTTGTCTAGTCACTCTGGGTTTCGTTTGGCGGTCTTGAGAGGAGCAGTTTCGGGTTCATGGGTTTTTGGAAGCATGGAATCAAAGCCCCTAAACCCTAAACCCTAAACCCTAAGCCCTATCAACTATCAGCTCTACGCACCTGATTTCACGCCGGTAATCTCTGGCTCACGCGCGAGTCTTAGCCCATGCAGCTGGCAACAGAGCTGCCTCTTTAGGGTTCTTAAAGTTTAGGGTTTAGGGTTAGGGAGGGTTTTAGGGTTTTTGGGGGGCTTGGGGCTTGCAGGCTTTGGGGTTTCAAGTCCAACAGCAGCTGAGGCAGTTTACCCCTACGCGGTCAGACAAGCCCCAAACGGCCCTGAACCCTAAAGCCCTTCGACCAAACCCTGAACC